AGAGTATTTTCTCTTTTTAAATATTTATTTGCAAATATTTATAGGATGTAGTATGATAATTCTATACATGTATAATGATCCAGTGTCTTGGGAGCCCATTATCCAACTTCCCAGTATCCCTCCTCCCCTACCCGCCCTTCCCAGCTTGTATTAATGACTACTAAACATTTTGAATGAATTTTTCAGTATCCACATATGAGAAACAATATTTTGTAGTTGTTTCTCTGTGCTTTTGTGTTTCATTTACCATAATGTCTGCTAGTTCTATCCATTTTGCTGTAAACATTTTGCTGATGACATGCTGTTATCCCCCCTCACTTTTCTTTCTCCTCTTTTTTTAAATTTGGGACAAGACTTTACTTGTGCAGTCTACACTGGCCAAAGAATGTCAATCTCCATGCACATGTCCCCCGAGTTATAGGAATACACTACTGAATACTTTTAATGGTCACTTAATATTTCATTGTATTTTTTTCATTCATCTCATTCTATCCTTCCATGTTTAGATTCCATATCTTAAATAATGTCACTAGAACAGAAATAGACATAAGCATGCAGGTACTTCTCTAATGTGTTAATGTCATTTCCTTTGGATATGTAGCCAGAGTAGAGTAGCTGGATTATGTGATAGGCATTAGTGTTCCAAGCATTCTCAAATTGTTCTCCAAGAAGGATGCTCTATCTCGTAAGTACCACTAACAAGTGTATAACAGTTCTCTTTTTTCTAGTGTCACCAATATTTCTTATCTTCTAATCATTTTAATAACAATTCTTTCAGGTACTATCTTGATATGGTATGGGTTTTAATTTCTTCTAAAAATATATATTAATATTCTTTGCACATATTTAATTGGATTATTTTGCGGTTTACCATGGGGTCTGAGCCAAGGGTTAGGGAGCCTGCATAGGACCAACCTAGGCCCTCTGCACGTGTGACAGTTGTGCAGTTTGGCCTGTCTGTGAGGCTCCTAGCTGTGAGATCAGGACCTGTCCTGACTCTTAGCTGGCTTTTGGGAACCTGTTCCCCATACTGGATTACCTCCACCAACCTTGATGCAGGGGGCTGAGCTTGGTCTCACCTTTAACTTGGTGTGCCTTGCTTTGTTCAAGCCCAGCGGAGGCCTGCCCTTTCTGAATAGAGACTGAGGAGAGGTGGATGGGGAGGCAGGTGGATGGGGCCGGGGGTGGGGAGGCAGAAGGACAGGAGGGAAGGGAAACTGGTCACTATGTAAAAATATGAAAAAATGTTACTAAAATTAAATTTATTTTAAAAATTCCTGGATATTTTGGATATTAGTTAGCTGAACAACTTGTGGATTTTTTTTCATTGTGAAAACTGTCTCTCCTTTTTTTTTTTTTTTACTGTTTCTTTCATGGAATAGATGCATCATACTTTGAAACAATTTATTTTGTCTATTTCTACTTTTATTTGCTGTACTTTGGAGGTCTTAGAAAGAAATCTGTTGCCTATAATGATATCTTGAATTATTCTACACTTTTTATCTTACTGGTTTCACAGGTTAAGGTCTTAATTTAGATTTATTTACTTATTTATTTATTTTACGAATGAAATTTGGAAACAAAGTATCAATTATTTGCAGATGTTCATATAAATATCAAGTCCTCCCATCACCATTTATTGAAGAGGCTACACCCTCACACTCTATCTGTCCAGTGTGTTTTTGGAATCTTTGTCAAGAATAAGTCAGCAGTAAATGTACAGGGTTATTTCTGGACACCCTGTCTTTTTTTATTGGTGTGTGTCTATTTTTGTGCCAATACCATTAAGTTTTGATGACTTTTCCCTTGTAGTCTACTTTGAAAGGTTCTCAAAAGTGAAAGTAAAAAAGGCTAAGTTTTCTCCAGGTAATACCTCCTAAAACAAATAGATTACTCTCCAATCATGGAGGTTTGGTATGTATAAGTAAGTAACAGTGAAACTATTGTAGCCCTAGAAAGTCATATCAAATGTGATTTTATTTTAATTTTACTACATTTAAGTGTGTGTGTGTGTGTGTGTGTGTGTGTGTACCACTGTATATATGTAGAAATCAAGGTTTGCTGGGCAGTGGTATCACACCCCTTTAATCCCAGAATTCAGAAGGCACAGTCAGGCGAATCTCTGTGAGTTCTAAGACAGTCTGGCACACACAGTGAGTTCCAGGATAGCCAGAGTGGTTATTCAGAGTAACATTGTCAAAAAAAAAAAAAGCAACCCCTGCCCCCAAAGAAGAAGTCCAGTCGTAGAAGTTGATTCAATGGTTCCCTACTTCCCCCATGTATAATTCTGGTCATGAGGTTTGGTGGCAGACACTCTAGGAGCCATCTCAATGGGCACAAAAGTGATTTTTAAATCAAACATGTCCTTATTTTGTGTGGCATAATACTGGATATCTGTATATAGCAGGCAGCCTCAAATTCTAGGTAAACAGTACTGAGTAAAAAATACAGAGGCCAGCTTACAACATTTTTGAAGAGCTATAAGATTACAAAATAAAGTTGCAAAGTGATCAGTTTCCATGAGCATAGTAAGTAGGCAGTGTGAGAGCAAATAAGATAAAACGCTTAGCAAATAAGAACTGTTCTTGTTATTTAGGCCAAGATTTGAAAGATAAGGGAGGCTGGGCTGTAGCACAAACTCAAGGAAGAACATTTTATATGGTGACAAAATTTTAATGCTGTAAGGAGTTCAGTATTTCCTCCTAGAAAGTATTGATGCCAGGCTAAGAGGATCATAAAAAACAAACAAACAACTAAACTCTCCAAGATATGGATGATCAGATCTTTCATACTTGTAAGACATTGTAAGTAGTTCAGATTTTTATTTTATTTGAAACAGGAAGTGTTTTTAAAGACTTTCAGGAAAGCCTGCTTTGACCTGCTTTCCTCATTTGGGAGCTCACTATAGGTGAGCTGTCTACAGTAGGGTACTTTAAAGAGGGAAATAATTAGGAGAGTTTTGTATTCATGTCACTGAATGAACACTGTTCTCTTGGATGACTAGGATCACAGAAATGAGATGAAGCAGAGGAGATAGATTGAAGATTTAACCTGTTATAAAACCCCAAAAGATGGGCTTTAGGTCATGATGGGGATCAAAATGGACTTCTAGATCTCAAGTTTAAGCAAGTACATGGTTGGTGATGTCATATATGAAGAGGTAGTAGTTCTCAGAGAAGAAATTAGAGTTCTATTCAGAGTCAACTTGGAGGTTGACTGTGAGTCACCAAATAGAGATTTCCTGATACTAAATACAGAAAATTAGTTCACAGCTCCAAAAGACGCTCCACATGGTAGCACAGGGAAAAGGAAGTTTCTAGGTGCTCTGTGTTGAAGAGATAGACGTTACGAGTCTAGGTAGATTAAGAAGCCCATGATGGGCTATAGCTCAGTTGGTTAAGTACTTGCCTAGAATGCACAATGTCTCAGATTACATCCCCAGTACCACATAAAGCAGGCATGGTAGCACACTTGGAAAGTAGCTCATGGCCATCACTGGCTTTATAATGAGTCCAAGGCCAGCTTGAGAGTAATCAGAACATATTTCAAAAAATGTGATGGTGTTGGGGAAGCAAGAACTCTCTCAGCAAGTGTGAGGGTTATTTAAGTGTCAGAATCCATGTAAAATCTGGGCAGATGTGGAAGCTACCTATGACCCCAGCACTCAGGAGGCAGAATCTTCAGGGGATTCATGGAGTAAAAACTGGCTAACCAGACTGACCAATCAGTAAGCCAAGGTTCAGTTAAGAGATTCTGCCTCATTGAGTAAGGTGGAGAACAATTGAGGACAACGCCCAATGTCAACTTCTGGCCTCTACATATGTACTTGTGCTAGTATACACTTGCATATAAACATGCATATACACACAGACATAAACAACAAAGAAACAAGATGGCTGTAATTCACAGGAAAACAAAAGAAAACGAAAGAACTTATGGGAGTCACACTGAGTCAACACAAGTCTGAAGAAACCTCTGCTTTAGTACTAAGTGGTGCTCTGGTCACCACAGGCATCTCAGGAAGAGAGAAACCTAGAAAAAATAGAGAGAATAATTCTTGAAAGCTGTACAGGGTGAAGATTATCCTATTTGCAACAGTTAGACAGCAAAAATTCCATAATCTAGAACTCTGAGCAAGTACTCTCAAGGACCTTACCTTAGTACTGGGAGTTTCCCTTGGCTAACACTACTGTGATGCCACCTGACATTTTGAAAACAGGATCTATATGGATAGCATTGCTTTTCAATAACTATATTCTAGAATGAAGTTCATGAATTATCCATTAGAATAAAAAAATACCCAATAGGAGCTGGGCGGTGGTGGCACACGCCTTTAATCCCAGCACTCGGGAGGCAGAGGCAGGCAGATCTCTGTGAGTTCGAGGCTGGGCTGGACCGATAGCCTCCAAAACAATACAGAGAAACCCTGTCTCGAAAAACCAAAAAAGAAAAAATACCCAATAGGGTAAAATTCACAATGTCTCCCATCTAATAAAAATTATAAGACATATGAAGAAAAAGGAAAATATGACACACTTAAAGAAAAATGATGAAATAAATACACAGAAAGCAATCAAGAGATGATAGTTGGAGTTATCACACAAGGGTAATTCCCATATTCTAAAACACTGAAACAGAGACGTGAAAAATGTAAAACTGACAAAACAAAACTGTCATGTCTGAAATTTTCAAGTACAACAAGTTAGGTGAGTAATGCATTACATATTTTTAAAAATAAGATACAATGGACTAGAAAACACAACAAAAGAACTATCAAAATAAAAACCTGAAGAGAGGACAATTGAAATATAAATAGTTCTTCACCGAGATAATTTAAAACTTGACATGTAAATGCAAAGATTGAAAATAACCTAAGCAGTTTTTAAAAATTGAAGATCAGCACTACCTCATTTCAAAATAAAGATCACCAAGGAGATGGGTTTGGGCATAAAAATAAACAGATCACTAGAACAGGAAACAGGGCATAAACATCCACCTACCCACATATAGACAAATGCTGTTTTCCATCAGTGAGAAGAGTCTGTTCAATTGAAGAAGAACTCTGTCAAAAAATTAATATCACATATTTTCAGATTTTAATGTAAGAGAGAAAATAACCCAACTAAAAATGACAGAATATTTGAACAAATGCTTGTCTAAAAAATGAATACAGATAACATTTATATCATTTATTACTGGAATATTCAAGTCATACCTGTTGAATATAACAATACACAGGTATTTTTATAATTAAAATTAACAGATTGACCAAGCTAAGAATTTGCAGGATGGGGAACAAAGATCTTTCCTATACAGCTGGCAGGAATGAAAAATAATAGTCACACTAGAAAAAATGTTTGGAAAATTTCTAAAAATTAAAACATAAAGAGTTCGGGCTTCTATCTGAGGTATTTGCCTAGGGCAGATCAAAACCCACAGTCACAGAAGAGTTTGTCCACCAGTGACCATAACAGCTGTGTGACTGACAGTCCCAAACTAGAAACAGCACAAATGCCGCCCAGTTGGCAAGTAGATATTTGAGGTGCAATGGGGTCCTACCACTCAGCAATCACTGGGATGAATTATTGAGAAATGCAGCAGCGTAAAGACCCAAAATAATTAGTGTGAGTTAAGAAAAAAAAAAGCCAGGCAAAAAAGTGTTATTTGTGAGGGAGTGGGAAGAACCTGAAAACGACAGAAGGTATGAGAAGACTTTTAGTTTTCATTACAGTCGTTGTTCTGCTTGGGATGATAGTCTCACTCGTGAGAATATGCAGCAAAGCATACCAGAGTGCACACTTTAAATATGCACAGCGCGTTCTATGTCTATTGTTCTTTACTGACTTTGTTAGGAATGAATCCAAGTGGGAAAGCAGAATGAGGAGAATGAAGTAAGCACATTTTGTTTAGTCTTGTTTAACTTTTTATTGACTCGTTGTGGATTTCGCATCATGCATCCCAATCCCACTTACCTCCCTGACCCCTTGCTTCTGCCCTCTGCCCTTTCAACTTCTCACCCAAAACAAAATTTCAAAGTAAAAACAAAAAACAAATTAAAAACTCTCAGCAGTATGGTCCAGTGAGTCACAAAGCACGCTCTTTAGTCCGTACATCTTTACTTGTAAGTGTTCATTGCAATGAGTCATTGGTCTGGTTCCAGGCCTCTGGCTTCAATACGACTACACTATCGATACTAGGCTCTCACTGGGGCTCCTCTTGGATATCCTATTGTTGCCTTGTGTCATGGAGATCCTGTAGCTTTGACTCTGCAGGTTCAGCGCCTTCATATGCTCCAGTAGTTCACAGATGATGTGTGAGGGTTGGAGCGGGCTACCTGGTAGTCCTGGTTCTAGGTCAGGGTGGTACCTGGATTAGTCAGCCTGCCAGCTTTCCCTCATTGTTGCCATTCAGGTGAGATCTCCAACACTGCCTCAACTAGCTCAATGCAGCAGGCAGCAGGGAGCAGGGCCAGCTCTGATCTCACACCCTTGTATCAGGCTCACCCACATTCACACCACCAGGGCCAGCTCTGCTGTTTTCCCAGGCAAGGGCAGGGCTTGATCGCTGGATTGCTGTACTTGGTGAGAAGCAGGAGCAGCTCTATTGTTTCACAGGTGGCAAGGGGTGGAAGGTGGGGGGCATATTTTCCTTACCCTTGCCACCTCATGGCATATGAGGGAGGGGGCAAGGGAAGCTTCCCTGCTCTCATGCCCACAGGCCTGGCTCCCCAGTGTACACCTCCGCACCCTTCCCCATCCCCAACAACAGGGTCATCTCTAGTGGACTGCACAGATGAGGTGCTCTACTGGCTCCCCATATGCTGCAGCCAGTGAGGGGCAGGACCAGCTCTCCCATAGTGAAATTTCAATGCTCCCATTCGTAGGGCCCCAGTGCCCCAGAGCCCAGGGTCACCTCTCTTGCCTGCCATAGGTGGCAAGGGGCAGGAGGGAAGGGCTTTTTGTCCCTCACCCATGCTATCACATTGCAGACTGGGGTGGGGGTGAGGTCAATATTCCAACTCTCAAGGATTCTAATTTTTCCAACAGCCCCTCCCATGTTGCTTTCTTTTCTTTCTTCTTTCTTTTTTTCTTTCTCTCTTTCTTTTGGGTAGTATAGAAATGCTTGATAGGTTACTATCTCCTCCTGTTGGCTGACTATGTGTCTTCCGGTGCAATTGTGAATTTGCATGTTTCTTTTTTCCACTTTCTTCTCTCTCAAATCGCTTCCTATGTGGCCTTATCACCACCCATGTTTTTAGCTCCAGCTTCCTAAACTATTTGTATTTCTATGAAATAAAGAAGCCTCTGGGAGTAAGCCATACTGTCTACCTGACTAGCTCTGTTTATTTGCTAGTTCCTGTTGAACCTGGATAGGTAGGGTCATCTCTGATGCTTAGAAGGCATGTTTGTTCAACAACAAATACACGGACAAGGTATAAACCTTGCAAATAGTCATGCCATGATGATCTGTTCCAGTTTGTAACAATTTATTTGAGGGACACTTTTCATAAAAACATACATCAGCTTGTGGTTGTCAGTCATGAGCAGGTGTGGAAAAGCTGTGGGAAATGACATTTGAGAGTAGACTCTCAAGCAGTGTGAATTCACTTGGTGTGAAGTCGGGACTTCAACATTCATCTCTTATCAACTTCCTGTACAGCTTGAAGTAAACCAAAGTAAATTAAAATGAAACATGTGACCAAAATCAGAGAAGTATGCCTATGATACTTCGCTATTGTGGAGGAAACCAACTTTAATTGGGACCCTTAAGTTATACACTTCCTGGGCAAGATCCAAGCTTTAGGTTCATCTTAGTGTCTGAGCAAACAAGGGGAGTTAGAAATGCTTTGTCCATGTATATGCTGCTTATGGAAGAATATGTTTCCTCTTTTCAGAGCATCAAAATGACTCATCAAGTTCTTCATCTAGGTCACAGTTTATAATTAATAAAAAGTGTCACCTATAATCATGCATTACAAAAGGTTAGCTTTCACAAAGCAGCTGTCTTAAAATTTTTATAGGAATACTTTCTTTGCATATTCTACACAAAATGTTAACAGATACAGATATAGCTGTAATGATCAGAAATTGTGCATAAATCCAACTTTTAAATTTCTATTGAGATAGTGCATACATGCATTTAGTAAAGAAGAGAGTATGTTTGAATATTGATATAGATAGAAAAATGTAAAAGAAACTGGGATTAAGTGATGGTAGAGAAATTAAACATTTTTCAAACTTCTTTATCATGTTAGATAATGAATATGTGGTTTATACAGTAAAACAGCAAAAGGTTTCCTACACATAGTAGGTTTCAAGGCATACATTTTTAAGTGTTTAGTTTTAAAAGATTTCCACACTAAAGTGTAAACACACATGTTTTTCTTAATCTTTGAGTTTGGCGATGTTTTTCATAACTGAAAGCACTTAGTGGCCACTCTCAGTGAAACTGCCCTTATTGCTTTCTTGCTATAATTCTTCTAGCACCTTCTTATACTTATCAAACAGCAGATACTATCAGTGCACATGAACAGTTTACCAAAAAACCCATTCTCTTCAGGATTTGATAAAGCCTACTTGAAAGGAATCCGCATTCATGGAGTTTTATCATGTGAGTAGAATATGATAAATGTCTGGGGAGTAAGATTACAAGTACAAGGTTAGTAAGTCAAGGACATTTATAAAAAGCGTTATCTTAATCAGTTGTCCATCAATGAGCCTCCAAGCACACTGTGTGACAGAATACTTAAACACAGGAGAAGGAAGAATCTTCTACGTACTTCATTTCAATTACTGTAAGATTCTCTAGCTGTGATCTCAGGCTTACATGTTGAAAGTTCTTTGTCATTGCTCAATAGATTTTCCTAACACTAATTTTCTCTATTAACAACATTGAAGTACATGATTTGTGTTTAAAGTTTGAAGATATCGTAAAAGAGTAAGCACATTAGATTTTGCTATTAAGCAAAATACTAGGGTATTTACTAGACTCTACATTTTTTAATTAACTTAAAAAAACATGTCTATCCAAATGTTACAAAGTTGAGATCTAATATCTGCACTAACTTTTTCAAAGCACACTCAAATTACAAAGACAAATTCATAATGAAAGCGAGTTTCACCTCTGGTTAGCAGGCACAAACTTTCCCCTTGAGTCTAAGATTGTAGTTTCTCAGCTTGCTGACATGATTTCAGAAGTCTATGTTTGAAACACAAACATTCTGTAGGGAGAGGACTTAAGGAAAAGCACCAGCCTGTGGAAGGGCCACCATGATCTGATGCTGCCTGACCCTTTCAATCCAAACAAAAACAAATTAAAGGATAATGAAGAAGGGGATTTCTCCATTCACATTTCTTGAGCTACCCCAGCTCACATGATCAAAAGATTTAAAGCCCAGCTTTTATCATGAAAAGAGACAATGACAAACAAATAGGATTTGGTGCTGCTCCACAACTAGCACATATGCAGGTTAGAAATGCAAAATCCTTTTGTTGTTTTAATTTGTAACGCCCACCTCCATTTTTTCTTGTGCATATTATGTATATTTTTTGACAAAATTATAAAATTTGCATTCATATTTATTTTGATGGGAGAAATTATTTTAAAAAAACAGTGCTAAATCTCAGAAAATGAACTCCAAATTTATTTTGTACAGTTTTGTGGCTCAAACAACTCTTTTTCTCTTCTAGAAAAAATAACGATTAAACTAATTTTACTGGATACTGATATGAATGGCTCTGTCTTACTATTCTCTTGCACATTATGCCATTGATATCCATTTTTAAAATAGTAACAAGCTGGAAATCCTATGACATCTGCATTGTAGCAAAACAAGTGCATCTTCTCAAATAAAAATCACTATGAAATGTTTATCACACTTTCAGGATGCTTAAAGGTAGAAGCAGCTTTGCAAATCATTCTGTTTAAAGTACAGATGTCTGTCTAAACATCACCATCCAATGTCAATGAAGAGGAGCTAGTGCAAAATAGAACCAAGACTAAAGAATGTGAAAATTCAAGCCACTGAAAACTGTAATATGGGTTTTCTGCCCATAAATTGTGTTCTTAATTACTCAAATCATTTATTTTACCTTTCTTTTCACATGTTTAAGACCATGCCACTTTACTCTCAGAAGTTTGTGAAACACAGTAGCCCTGACTTAACGTTATCTTCCGCTGGGGCTCTCTTCCCTGGTTCAAGATTCCAATATGTAGAATCACTTTGGTAGTCTCAAATGCCCCCAGAAAGAGCAGGTGATGGCTACAAGAGCATTAAGTACTCATGGCATTACAGTACAAATAAAGAACATCAGTAAACGACAAATGTCTCCCCTGCTGCCCCACCCTCACCCCCCACCCCTGTCCCACCCATGCCCACAGGAATTCACAGAGACTTCAAATGATAAACATTCAAGAACTGACCACACTGTCAACAACCTTAGCTTGACAGAGCATTCACATGGAATTCCAGAGAGAATTAATAATAAACCAAAGCTCAAGAGTTGAATGACAAGTTAAAGTAACAGTGCGGATGGAGAAATGTCAGACTGAAGTTTCTATAAAGTGCATTGGCCACTTCTGCATCCATGCTTCTTGGTTACTAAGTTTGGAGATACTCAAGTAATAGAGGGTCATCGCATCCTCCTCAACTGCATATGCTCATGTCATTGATAGAAAAACTTCACCTAAGTATCTATGTATAGTTAATACTGCTCTCTCTCTCTCTCTCTCTCTCTCTCTGTGTGTGTGTGTGTGTGTGTGTGTGTGTGTGCCCATGTGTCCGTCTTTCTCTCTTTGTTGCTTTCTCTCCTTTATGTTTTTGTTTATTTCTTTTGTTTTGCTTTTTTTTTTTTTTTTTTTTTTTGCTGCTGCTGTTCACTTGCTACTAAAAACTATGAAGCAGGTCCTTGATTAAAGCACTTTTCTTGCATGTTAACTCTAGATCAGCATAAAGGCCCTACACTCTTAGATTCTAGTGGAGGGGACAGGCAACATTTTAATAAACAACAGGATATGATATTTTTATGAAGCTAAATGAGAAGAGGGTAAGTTACAGGAAATTAGTTACTTTAGATGGTGTGATAAGGAAAGTTGTTTGGGAAAATATGTGTTCAGAAACCTGAAAAGAAATTGAGAAGTAAGCCATAAGGATTAGCAATACAGTTGTGAGGAGTAATTAATAGTAAGTGGGGATGCTATTGTAAGTGATGTGCCACGAGACAGAGACTGGAAAGGGTGCCATCAGATGTTGGCCATCAGCCAGGTGACACAGCTTGGTAAGTGCTTTAGGAAATGCTACTGGAACATTCACAGATATTGCTAGGGCAGTCTCTCAAAGGTGATCTCACTTGTCAGCATTCAGTCTATGAAAACCGGCTGACTGTCTATGCTCAGTTGGGCTTGTGCATCTACAAAGCTGCCTGCCAACCATTTAAGTTTGCTTTTGAAAATCTGCCTGTAACTTGAAAAGGTATGAAGAGAATAATGTTATAAATGCTGTATGACTGCTAATATTCCTCCAGAGTCTGCTGTGTTTGTTAAGCCAACACGTCTAGATAGTAGATCCATAGGCAGGAAACAGGAGAGCTTCACAGGCTGAGAAAGTCTAGTATAATCTCACATCCAGTAACTTCTGGAACAATAATTTCCAGGGCTAAAACAGGAACTTCAGATTAGTTTGGTCAACACAAAGCTATTGGAAGTTGCCGAAAGGCCCAACATAATCAACAAGGCGGAGTTTTCTAATGTTATGTTAGATAGAAATGGTCTTGCAAATAGTTACGTTCCTCAGTTTAGAATAGAGTTACTTCCTCATGGGTCATGTTAAAAAAATTGAATATATTTGTGGGGAGGTTTGAAATACTAAAAATACTGAATATATTTGACATAGTTATTTATATACAATGCATACAATATATATTAGAAGCCTCTCAGTTTATTTCATGTATATAGAAATGTATCTAGTGTTCATACCTGCCCCTCCAAGCACTTTAGGTTAACAACATAGTACCCTGCTTACACCAATACATCACTCACTCTCTTCACTAAGGCTAACTATTTACTGTTGCTCCAGCCACCGCCAGCACCTTGAGCAGTTGGCCACAGATTGCTATGCTAAGAAATGCAAAACATCACAATCCTAAGCACACTCCTACTAAATGGACATTGCTTTTGTAAAACTTCCTGCTAAATTGTTGATCTTCAACTATAATTGTTATAAGGCAATTTAAACTAATAAATATGTCCATGGTGAGTAAAAAAAAGGAGTTTGTGTTCATAGTGGCTGTGCAAACTTGCCTCAAAACTTCTGGTTTCTGCATCTTGAGTTACAACCTTCCTTCCAAACCCAGAGCTCTTCCTTCAATCTACACCACAGAACCTGCTTCCATCTCACATGGGACGCTTGGGAACCCAGGATCTGTCTCATGTCCCTCACACCCTATGTAATGCCACATAAGCCAGGCCTGCCTGTCCCTTCCACACCCCACAGAGGGCCCACCTGCAAGGCTCTTCCTATCCGTGGGCCAATGCCTTTACCAGATTCCACTTGAAGATACCTTCCGTCCTGTTTTCTTTTCACTTACCTTGTGCAGTCTCATCCTCGTGACCCTGGTGGTGGCTTTGGGTGTTGGCTGAAGAGAGAGCAACAGCAGTTAGAAGGTGATTTCCTGTAAAGCAGGCAATTAAACCACGCTCGGCTCAGGTCACCTCGTACTCAAACCGAGAAGTCAGCAGCAGGGCACCTGCAATGGAACCTCTGACTGGCTTTCTTCTGAGTCACTTTTCAAAACCTATTTTCCGACTTACAAGTCTTTTCTGAGAGCCTCCTTTCTGTCAGTTATCCAGGAATCGTTAATTGTGCCCCTCACAAAAAAATGGACACTTTAATGAAAGGATGGTTTTAATGATGAAAGATAAATGAATTTTTGTGGCCTGGAGACTTAAAAAAATACCACGGGCTAGGAAAAGATAGGAGGAACATCTTTGGTTCTTACTTGTGCTTGCTAATTAGATGAAGGCGAAGGGATGGGTGTCATTTATCTTATTCAGATGAGAAAAATCTGCTGAGCTTAACAAGTTAGAAAGCTCCATTCAGTTCCAAATTTCTACGTGCCAATCTTGTTGACAGTCAGGATTGAGGACACTTAGTTTAGATTTTCTGTCCTTCTTAAAATCTCTCTGCAAATCTAAATGAATTCTCTTAGGCATCAGCACCCTGCCTAGTGAGCACGGTATTATGGGAAAATATGAATGGATGGAGTCTAATGTGGGTTTGGGTTTGTGTTGGTGAAGACTGGACCTTAAAGCAAGTGTATCGCAGGGAATTAATCTGAAACCCAGAAAAGTGTTTGCCCCGTTCTTTAAAATATTCTATCTAGTCAGACTAGATGAAGACATACCTACTCCCATTTCAGCTTTATTATGAATTTGCATATACAGTTCCAGAACACTGGGTTACAAGCAAGCATTTGAAACAAAACCTGATTCACTAGAGTCTGCTTGCAGCCAGTATATCTAGCAAGATTAACTTGTTTGTACCTGTACATTTTGAATGTATCTATAGTCTTATTTTCATGGGTTCCACAAGAAATAACAGAGTTTGATTAGTATCAGATCAAAACTTCTCTACGAGTTGTCTTTCTTCTCTTAGGAAGCAGGAAATTGAAGTACCTTTAAATCTATCTTTCCACCTGACACAAATCCCATACCTAGGCGTGACATTCTGCTATCTTGGAGCCTTCTTTGTAATGTCAGCTTTAGTTATGTACATTCATTTTTGAATTGAATCAAAAAACTCCCCACTTAGTTCACTGAATCCCCTCATCTGGAAAAAATGCTGCAATTCTTTAAAGGGTTAGTACTTTGTTCTTAGCTGTAATTACATATGTTTTCTGAACTTACCCAGGGAAGATGAAAATAACTCCTCAAAACAGACAAGGGCACCAAGCACAGCCCAAAGCCCAGCTAGGTAAAACAGTGAATTTATCAGACTTGCTTGTAGAAGCATGTCAGTTCCCTTAGAGGAGCATAAGTAACCCCGAAGCTACCCAGCTACTATAAGAACTCCATCTTCTGGCCTAATATATACACATTAATTGCCTTGGTCATGGTGTCTCTTCACAGCAATAGAGCAGTGACTAAGGCTCCAATTCAGTGATTTACCTGACCTTTCTTATTAGTTAGGATAACATAACTTATGTTGAAATAGCAACTTCCAAATCTCTATAGCCTGAAGCAACAAAAGATTAGTATTTTTTTCTTTTCTTTTCTTTTTAATAAAGAAGATTTATTTAGGCTCTTATTTTCAGACCACAGTAACTTGCCCATGTTACTTTGGATCTCTGACAACACAGTCCATCATGTGAGGATCATACATCAGAGAAGTCCTATTCACCACCATGCAGAGGGAAGAAATAAGACAGCAGGGAGCTATTGCTTCCAATACTTCTCCGTGGGACTTGTTCCCAGAAGCCCCACCTATAGAATCATATATTAAACACACAAAAAAAGAGAGAAAAAAGGTTTGTGTTTCAGTTTGTCTATAAAATATTAACCCAAATTATTCTAATTTCTTTTATTCAGGCAAAGAAAGGTTTGCTTCTCAAACAGGAAATAAATTCCATTTCCCCAGGTTGGTGGTTAAAGAAAATGGCTAATTAAAAGGCAAAAATAATAATAATGATGATAATGATATTATAATAATAATAAAAGTGGAACCATATAAACACTGAAATTTGGGGAGAAAAAACAAGTATGGTAACTAATAAATGCCCACACAGTGAGTGGCTTATTTCTACCCAAGATCACAGTTACTCAATTTTAGTGTGGAAAAGTGATGTGAGTGTACATCCCACTGAAATTCTCTTCATCACTGGCCTGGGTGAATGGGAATAGAGGTACTTCAGCCCTCTTGCTTGCTATTCCTGCTGGCCTGATCAGACACAATTAGTGTAGGCTATTAGGTAAGGCAGAGATTGGGTGGCTCGCCAGTCAAATTTACTATGGAAACAGTAGACATTGCCACTTCTGACAGTGCTGTGAGGAATTAAACAGTGGCATTAGCTGGATACACTTAGACTATGGAGACCCAGGTAGTCACCAGTTTAGGTCCCCATCCTCGAAAAAGTGGCAGGTAGAGATGCACTAGCCGACACTAATAGCACGAGTGAGCTGGAGGCTCTGGCCAGTACATAAGCATTTATAGGGCTTTTGTTTTTTTTTAATCCATCAGGCCATATGCTGCCAGGCTTTCATGCAAATAGACAAAATTACAAATAATAAAAAAGAACCAACTGTTTTAGTGGTCAGCTGTTCTCTATCCTCATTGCTATCCATGTGAGAGGCCAGTTAATAAAAGGGGGGTCTTGGACTTCCATTGACACCAACCTAAAGCGATAGCTGCTTCAAGAGCCAAGTCTCATTGGAAGCATGTTAAACCTCTGCCCTGGAGTACAGCCATGCCAAGTGTCTATTTGGCTGGGAAGCAAGGCTCCTGGCCCTCCAGCTGGCCTGGACACTGGGCACAAGGCTTAAGTGCTCCCTGCAGCTGAGGCCCATTGTCCGCTGATGTGAGAAGAGGTAAGAGGTTAAGTTTCATTTAGGCAGGGTTAAGTTGAGGCTCATGGGTTTACCAGAATCGTGTACATCAAATAATCATTTTTAGAAACAGAAAGGATTAGTCAATGCAATTCCCAGTTCTAAAACTGTAAGAAAATTAGCAATTATGGGCTTTTTGGAAATCTCTAACTCTTTAATAGCAAAGGCTGCAAGAAAATCTCTCCAAGCAGACTCTAAACTTTCCTCTGAAATACTTGCATTTAAAACTATAATGTTGTTAAACTTTTGAATAATTTCTGCTATCTCTTTCCTTATTACCAAGTCTCCCAGTCTGTACAAATGGAGAGTTTCACACCCTTGATAGAATTCACACATTTGTTTCCCATTTTAAAGCAGTAAACCTCCAACCAAAAAAAAAAATGAAGCAGACCAACTGAATTCATATCTTTGTGTGTTTATTTAAAATAGAGCTATTCTAGAGACGTTATGCTCGCGCTCGTTTACACCTCTATTGGGACAATAATTTACACCTTTTTAAAGATGATTTAAAACCAGTTGTAGTCAATTAGTGTGCAACATGTTGCAGTTCAAGAATTGTCAAAATAAAGGTATCACAGAAATACATTCAGATGCATGCGGGTCTCCTGTAGCAAAGAGAGGGTGTGCTTAAGAGAGCCCTGGCCCGCAGCAGCCAAAGTAGACAAATGTCTTGCAGGCATGCAGCACCAATGTGCTTTCTATGCTGTCCACTCTACCATGCCACCAAACCTTAGTGTCTTCCTGGGTTTGATTTGCCCTACAGGCTGGTTGTAATCTAAGCAGGAAGGTTACCTGGGCTTTGTGCTATTGTCAAGAATGATTTCTAAATCTACCAGGCACATAGTGTTATAGTGATTAGCACCTTGCCCCCAAATCCTACCTGCCTACCAGATCCTCATTTACACAACCCACCAAAATGATGATTTCAGTGAAGAAAATTTGTTAGTACCTAAAGGAAATGACCATTCCCAAGGAAAACTAATTCACACTATAGATAAAATAGCGACAGACTATATTTCCAGGAAACTGCCTCAGAGACTCCCACAACTGGAAGTAAGGGCTTCCATTGTTACTGACACTCATGATCCAGTTTTCCAAATCAACTGAACATTTCTTCTACTGTGCAAGTGCTTGCTTAGCTGGGAAAGGAGGTTCCTCCATGATGCCTACTACGTATTGATCCAACTTTCGAATTTAAAGCTGAGAAAATAGGACCCAGATTGACTCTAACTTGCATGGAAGTGAAAGCCAGAACTATTATACAAAGTTCACAAGGATAAGACAAAAATTTCAGACATTCTTATGCTATGGGAAACCATGCAAGCAAGACGTGGGAGAACAAACAGGCAGTGATCTCCTGTGGCCTTGTAGCACTTTGCAGTCTAGTACTTTTGACACACAGAACTTAAAATTTACGTTTAAAAGGGTAAAATTCCTTCTGTTATAGGAAAATCCATGCCAGCAGTAGGCAAGCTTATTTATATGGTGTAAACTAGACACTACTGTCTATTCAAGTACAATGTTGACTGTCAAACAGTGCTAGAAAACCAAGCATATAAGCAACATATTATTAAAGCCCTAATCTTCATCAGGGAGAGTACTAAACCCATAGATAAATAAAATGTAGACACTCTGATACATATTAAGCCTATATTTATCATCTTAATCACTTCTTATATTCCTTTTTACCATTAGCAATACTGTGATTTGGATTTGAAATAGGGTTTCATGTATCCCTCTCTATATAGCTAAGGATGACTTTGAACTTTTGATCATGCCTCCACAGTTCCTGAGTGTTGGAATTATAACCCTGTGGCAACACTCCCAGGTAAAGTGGTGCTTGGGATAGAAGCTAACAAATCACCCTACCAACTGTAGTACATCCCCAGCCCTAGAATTATTTTACATTTTAATTTAAATCAATTTCCAACAGTTACACACAAACATTAATATTATATAGAGTAATATATATTCATGTATATATTATACAATGTTTGAATCTGGTTAAATTTCCTTTTCCATTATTTACCATTGC